TTAGCAGCAGTAAATAACCTCACAACTGGTCAGGGAATGCACATTTTTGATGACCATTGCTTAATAGTGCAGTTGCCAGATGCTCTAGGCCTGTGGAACAAAAACGTTTTGGAGAAAACAGATGGAATTGCATTTCCAGTATGTGAAAAGGCCTTTGTTAGCAATAAAACCGATATTAAGTCAGATTAAGAAAAATAAATTGTCATTGTTCAGATTTGACATCCAGCTCACACACTGAAAAATTAGGAGCAGTATCAGTATCAATGTATTCTACATCCAAAAACACTGAACTCAGGAAGTTAATCCTCACCAGCAAGAGTTTTTACGTATTCTAGTTCTGGAAGTCAACCTGCAGCATATTATAACAAAGTGTTCTTACTGAAACTGAAAGTGTCCATGAAAACAAAGGGCAGAGAGACATTAGATAAGAACACTTAACACTCACTGAGTCCTGTATAGCGGGAGCAGTGTAAAGTATTAACATTGGCAGTTTTCCCAGTAGGTAAACAACTGAAACTGAAACATATTCACCAATCTGTGAATACAGTGTAGAGCTGCTCTTTGTTATTATTGGAGTAAATTAAACTGTGTTTAAAAACCCAAACTTAACCTGCAGTAATGACACTCAGCTGTGTCAAAGGTCACTAAAATTAATACTGAATCGGTGTGTAACTTTGCCAAAACAATGTCGGACTCTGTAGTTTTCTCTGGTCCCCTCCTCATGTTTAACTGCATGCTCTCCTTAAATTGGGTTAGGGTCTGTCTGAGTGGTGTCCAGAAAACGATGTGGGCTTTATAATTAATTGGGAAACTTTCTGAAGGATACCTGGCAGTTGCTTAGTCGTCCTTCTCCCTGGTAATATAGTTAGTACTAGCAACTCAATGCATCTCATGAGAGCGAAAAGCGTGGCTTACAGCTTTCCACAAGCATCTGCTCCCAGAAATACAGACAAACAGCACTTAATGATGAGTGTGTCTTGATCAGACAATGGAGTAGGAAGATCCCTCACGAGTGGCAGTTGTTGCCTTGTTGCTCACACAGGGAGGAGGCTCACCGCTTTGGGTGGAAGCTTGGAGAGCCGTTTCTTCACACCACCTTTATTAGCTTGCTGTGTGAAAGATTTGGGACCTGCTTCCTGGAGGAGTGTGTGTCAACTATGTTCCTCCATCACAAACATGTGGCGAGAAATCCCACAGCCTTTGTACCTCAGGCGCTGTGTATATGCTACAGCTGAAGAGAAGGACGTCACATCACTCTGTGGAGATATAAGAACATGTGATGTCTCTGTGAGTGTCAGACTGAACTGATCCGCTCCTTTGAAATTCACCTCCACTCACTTATGGAATATTTCCATAAGTTACTGATAAGACCTTAACTGGTTTCAGGGTGGCTGTTTTTTGTTTGTTGTATCTGTCACCTTTAGGAATGTGCTTGGCTGTTGTTGGTGTGTCAATAAACCTACTTGAACCCTTGCTGGAACTATTTAAGCATCACGTGTGAGAAGTAAAGATTGTTAGGTTTGGCGTCACTAATTAGAATTTGCTCAGGAAATGTAAATTTAAACAGTTTATATTCCAGTTGTAAATAGACTGAAGTGGATAGCTTGTAACATTAAGGCTACAAAAAGACTTTTATTAAAGCTGTTGTGCTTTTGACATGTTTAATGCTCTGCATCTTGTTCTATTTAATCT